CTCCACTCCTTGTACCTTCCCTCAGGAAAGGTCATCGGCATGAAAATCAGTAATGGTGACAATAAAACAGAGAGAATACTGAGTCTGCTCTAGTATATATAAAAGCACATCATTTATAAAATTTGGCATTCCTAAGGTCTGAATGTTTGTCTTCCCCCCCCTCCAAATTCACATGTTGAAATTCTAGCCCTCAAGGGGATGGCATTAGGAGGTGGGGCCTTGGGGAGGTAATGAGGTCACAAGAGTGGAGCCCTTTTTGAATGGGATTAGTGTTGGGATAATAGAGGTTCTAGAAAGCATCCTGACCCCTTCCACCATGTGAGGACATGCAGCAAGAAGGCACCTACTCTAAAGAAGTGGGCTCTCCCCTCCAGACAAACGAATTTGCTGGGGCCATGATATCTGACTCCCCAGCTCCAGGACTGTTGGAAAGAAGTGTTTGTTATTTATAAGCTGAATCCTCAATGGTATTTTTATGAGAGCATCCAAACAGACTAAAGCAGGTATGTTATATGAGCGCTATCTGACCAGCATCAGGGCTTCTGGACCAGACTGCCTGGGGTTGACGCTCAGCTCTGACTACTTAATTTACTGTGGGACTTAATTTGGATTTCAGTTTTCTCAGCTATGAAATGATGATAACAATAGCACCTACTTCCCAGAATTGTAACGTACTTCAGAGGGTACATATAGCAGTACCAAATCAAGGCTGGCGAAACCAAATGAGCAAGCAGTATTTACATGTGATTATGGCAACAAGATATTACATCATCTTGAAAAGATGCAGACTACTGCCCTCTGTCTTAAGAAACAGACTTATTGTCAGGGTCCTGCAATATTTACGATTTTTTCAAAGGCAAAAAACTATAACAATTCTATGGAATAAAACTGTACATCAAGAGAGAAGTCAATGAGTTTCCCCGGAAAGACAGAAGATTTGAAATTGAAGGTTTGTTCTGAGTCTACAGCCAAGTTAGAGAGAGATGCTCCCCAAATCTGTTTCTTTATCTGCACAAGGAAGATGACTTCACTCCTGTCTGATTTGAGGCCCTAGTGACATTGATATGAAATCACATCCACTCCTGATTTGCTACAGCTCCTACTATCACCAGTAACAATGAGTTTGTATATGACATTTTCTGCATTCGCACTGATTCCTCGGACACATTATCAATATCCAGCTATCTGAAAATATGAACAGCTTTTCAATATTGATTTATTCCCTGCAATATGCTAATAATAAAACAGAATTTACTCATGTAAGGATTGGGATCAAGAACCCTTTGAAATTCCAGACAAGGTGTAAATTGCTGCAAAGGGTCTCTTTAATTGGGATCAAAAGATTTTTGACAGCTTTTGGATTTTAAAATTCTAGCTATTGTCACGTTCTGCAAATGTTTCTTTTTTTGGTTTGAAAAAAAAAAAAAACACAGTCAAGCTTCAGAGTACTTGAGATATGATAAACAACTAAAATTTGTCATTCCAAATGACAAAAACCCAGCTTTCCATTTCCTTGATATGTAGGACAAAATACTTCACTTAAACTCTTATCCTGCACAATTCAGCTGGTCCCCTGCTGGGCGACAACAAAGGTTTAGTAAACTGTTGCTGCTCATAAACTCCAGTGGAGGCTGAAAACCCCCATCTGTCTGAAGTTAAATCACATCAACAGGGATGACTTTAAGGAAGAAACAGATTTTTTAAATCTAGTCTCAGGATTCAACTTCGATGTGACTTTGCTCAATACTTCATCCTCTACTTGACTCCCTTCCAGAATTTTTCCATCATGTGGTTGCTGCTTGGACACTCCTAAGTGATGGGGAACTCGCTAGCACAGAAAGTGGTCCACCTAACTGGTAGAAAATTCCTCCTCCTCATAAACCCGTACTGCTTCAAAGAAACTTGTATCACACGATCTTGGTACTATCTGTTGGGTCATGCAGAACAAGTCAGCTCCTTCTGCTACCACACAACTCTTGGGAGAGATGAACGCTATTAATAGGGGGTGTCCTGCCTTCTGCTGTCTCTGCTTCAGGCTTTTACACATTCAACCCCTTCTACTAGCTTTCCCTAGACTTGTGTCGAGACATATTAACAAGCTCAGGTTGCAGAAGCCAGATGCTACCAGGGCCTAATGTGAATCAAAAAGAACTACAGTGAAGCCAAACAGAAAACCTCTAACTCTGCCTTCTCTCTGATTTTCCACCAGGGATCAGACTCTCCCCCCGCCCCAAAGTCAAATGCTTTGAGCTAAAATAATGATTTTACTGTTGTTCTCTTTTGTGTCCAACTGAAGAATCAAAAATAGCATGAGAGAGTTTGGTGGTATCTTTCTTTGGGGCCAGGTTAGCTACCCTTGACTGAGGATTTAGATCTCAGTTAATATAAACCACCTCCCCTCATGAGTTATAATTCGATGATGGGGATTTTAACGATCCCCTGGACACAGCTTATCTGACGGTGGGTTACATAATGGAACAGCAGTGCCCAAAAACATGGCCCCTGGACAGGATAAAGTATCTGACACGCCACCTCACTCCTACTCCTTTGGTTATGTCAGCTGTCATGGTGGCAGGTAGACCAGAGAGACGATGACATAGTATTTGGGCATATAAATCTCTCGGTTAGGCTCGATCCACATTACTGGTCTCCCTCCAATTAAGATGTTAAGGGAACCAATGACATCCTACCAGTTTCTACAAGCCCACACCTCTCTGCCTCCTGTGTGCAGCTCAGGAGGCTACACCTGTGCTAAGAAGTCTGGGTTCAACATAGTTTCTAGTCCTCCAGTGGTCTTGGCCCCCCTCATCAGGACACTCTTTGATTTGCCTGTGTCCTTTCTCGAGTGTGAGGTTCGAGACCGAACGCAGGTCTCCAAATTGTAGTCTCCCCAAGAGAAGGAAAAACTTTCCTGGTTTCAGAAACGGTCCTTTTATTAAGGCAGGGGAGGCTTTCATTAGGCTCTCCTTTCTTTCTTTTTTTTTTTTAGGCTCTTATTTCTTGTGGTGTTCAAGCTCCTTTATTCCTGGTGCTCGTGCCCTCATTCTAAACTCCCTTCTCCCAAAGCATCCCCAGGTAGGCCCACCTCTCTTGACCATAGAGAGCTCAGCTGCCCTGACAATGATTTGGGCTAACGGAGGCAAAATCCCAGTTCTGCCTCCTACTTGCTCGATAACCTTGGCAAGGTCACTTATCCTGAGAGATAACAGGCATCAAGGCTGAGTGAGAAGACTCACGAGTCAGACTAACCTGGATTCTAATCCTGTCTCCAACCACCACTTACTTTCAATAAATTAGGATTACATTTCTCTCCTCAGTATCTCCAGCTATAAACTTGAGAGGGTACCACCATCTACCTCACAGGGCTGTCGTGAGGGTTAACAGAATTGGTATTTACAAAGGTTTCACAATAATGCCTGGCACATATTATGTGCTTGATGAATTAATTGTTGCTATTGTTTTTCCCATAAGACTGCTGTGAGGGCAAAACTGAATCATGTATGTAACATGACTGATATGCACATTAGTACACAGTAGGTACCCCATGAAGGGGAGTTATCACCACGAGCTTTTTTATAATGGTAAACTTCACATAACTAAAAATTTACCATTCTAAGTATTTCTTGGCATAGAGTTCAGGGATATAAAGGGCATGGACAGTGTTGTACAGTGAGCCTCCCCCAATCCATCACAAGCACCATTTTCTTCTTCCCAAATGGTAACTCTATACTCACTAAACACTACCTCTTCATCACATGCCCCCCCAACCCCTGCCGCAGGCCCTCACCACCACCATTCCACTTTTGTCTCTCTGAATTTCATGTCTCTAGATATGTCACAGAAGTGGAATCCTACAGAATTTGCCTTTTTATAACTGGCTTGTTTCACTTTGCATGTCTTCAAGTTTCCTTCATGTAATAGCATGGGTGAGAACTTTCTTCCTTTTTCTGTGGACTCATATTCCATTGCAGGCAGGCACCACATTTTCTGTATCCACTCATCCAATGATGGTTTCTACCTTTTGGTTGCTGTGAATAATGCTGCTATGAATCTGGGCAGACAAATATCTATCCTATTACTAATTATTCAAAAATAACTTCTCTTCAAAACCCATTTTTACCGTTAAATTATCATCCTCCTACCCATATGGGATCCCAATAGGAGTCAGAATAAAGGGGAGAAAATATAATGCAAAATGACTAAGGTTGAGTAACTTTGCCGGTTGAGTCTGGTGGCGCCTACAGCATTTGAAAATTAACTTGGGAAGTACAAGGGAGGTGATATATGTAAAGTATTTTATAAGCTGTAAAACATGGAAGGAATAAAAGGAAAAAAACCACGTCCATCTGACTCTTGCTCTCTGGACCAAACAAAGCGTAGAACATTTTTCTGTTTCTCCCTTATCGTCAGTGAACAGGACACCACCAAAGTCAGGGCAGCCCTGGGGATGAGTGTGCAAGCTAATTGCTGCTGGGGGGTTGATAAAAACACAAACCACTTCCTTGGCAGGTTCAACAAACACATCAGCCCTGACATTTCCTGGTCATGCGGTGACAGATTTTCCCAAGATTGAAAACTCCATTCTTTGCGATTACAGCAATTGCAAGGTGGCACAGGCTAAACTCAGGAGACTCTAGAGGCTCTGACCAAGTCAAAAGACATTCATGCGTCTCCCTCTAGGATGCATGTCATTAAAGTTGCCAACACACAAAGAAATTGAACTTCAGCTGTCACATCACCCACCGCGCTTCAAAGCTCATCAGTCTCCCGTTAGATTCCCGGCCTGTGTGACACTTTTATCACAAATCACACCGTTAGAAACACTGTGGCCAAGTCAGGGAAGAGCCTCCCTTTGATGGACGATCACAGTTGATCAAGTTTGTCAGTCGCTTTATGTGTTTTTATGCTTGTTTGATATTCCTGCCCGGAGAGGAGAGGCTTTTAAGGGCACATCTGTCAATGGATTCAATTTCATAATGCCATGTGATTCTTTTACTTACCCCTGTCTTCTCGTCAAAGATTTTGATACCTCCAAAGGAGATGGTTAAAAAGATTTTCTGTTTGTGTTCTCCTTTGGAACGCGCGCCAGCAACAACGCCCTGTTGAAAGAAGGACATGGTTTTTACTTGAGAGTGTACATTTGAAGATTCCCTCCAGTCCTGGTGGCAGTCAGATACCACCCACCAATACCACCAATCACTCACAATGCTCTCTCTCACATTCGCCCCTTCCATGCTTCCCTCCCCGGCGTGCTGGCCTCTTCTTGATATTTTAGGGTAACTGGTACCCTAACATTATATCTAACACTGTATCAACAGACACCTGAACACTGATTCACAGGACTACCTAAGATTTACAGAACGCCTCCTTTATGCCTAGATATCGGCTCAGAATCCAAGACCCTAAGATAAATACAATATGATCCTCTTATTAATAATATGTTGCTGGCCTTCATACTGTATATGGTTTCAACCTATTAAATAAAGAGGAGTCACAGAATATGTTCCTAAATGTGATTTTATCTTTACTTCTGGAGACAGTTTTAGAGAGTAGAAAGAAAATAAAAACCACGGCCAGACTGTATGTATCCTTTTGTCTGGAAAAAATACGATCACCAGAGTTACATGCTTATGGTTTGCAGTTTTCTACCCACACAAGTTTTGTTTTCCTTTATCCTTTTCAGAAGGAAGGTACCTAGCAAACACATCCCATTGATCAATGCCCCTGTCTCCCCACTTGCCCAAACTTTTTATAAACCAAAGCTACGTATCCGAGTCAGTTAGAAGGCAAACATCACAAATGGCAGGGGTGTCGCTCTGCTCACTGCTCTATCCCGGGTGCCCAGGACAGTCCCTGGAGGGAAGAGGCACTCTGTCATTCTTGCAGGATGCATGTGCTATCCAGAGATCTCCCACAGTTGATATGATGTAAGTTAAGGGCGAAGACACTTGCTTTTTAAACTAGCTTTTGTGGTGGCCAGTGACAGGGAAGCACGGGCTTCCTATGAGGGTGTCACTCAGAGGGTGAGGACAGAGATCTGCATTAAGTGTTCTGGAGCTTCTAACCCCATCATTGCTATCAGACTGCCCTGAGTGCAAGATCAAGTCCAATTATCAGCGGTTATAGTTCTGGGATTCTAGGAGTAGAAAAGTTGAAAATCAGCATGACGTCATGTTTCTGGGAGATAAAAGTCATCTGTGCTCACATAAGAAGAGCATGTTCACGACTCCAGTGTCAGAGAAGCAATGGTATTCAGAAGAGGGATGACCAGAAGGCAGAGGGACGGGGCACCCCCTTTGAGGCTGTTTGGTTATCCTCATTGTGGGTACCAGAAATGCTCTGTGCAATCCCAACGGCTGGTTTTATGCTCCTGGCTCTCCGTGATCTTGGGCAAGTAACTTAATTCTCACGGCCACTTCCTCAAGTGTAAACACTATCCTTGCATGTGGGAGAGAATTAAATGAAAACTTATATCAAGTACCCAGTATGGTGCCTGCAACACTACAGGGATGTCACAAAAGTTAACTTCTTCTAGTAAATGAACGACTGTCCCTAAAAATCTGTGCTCTGGTTCCTGTCTGGGGACCTACTAGCAGGAAATCCACTCCCTCCCGAGTCACCCATTCATTCTTGAGTGCCACTTACATCCTTGCAGACATACAGAATGTCAGGGCTAGAGAAAGTCTTCCACATTTCCTGCTGACAAGTGAGGAAAGTGATGTCTGTGAGGCGGGGGTCCGCTGTGCTGAGGCGGCATAGGGGGCTGGCGGAGAGCTAAGCCTACAACTCAGCTCTGCAGACTTCCGCTGTAGGGGGCACCTAATCCTTCCAGTGGTGGCTTCTTTCCAGCAAGCCAAAAACCTCTCCAGGTAACTCTCCCCAGCGTTGCTCTTTAGGTCCCTCAGGACTGTCGCTCAGTGACCAGAGAACCCTCCGGCACTGCCTGTCCTCTCAATAATTGAAGAGAGTGACTCACCCCCCCCAAAGCTAAGTCCTCTGTCTCTGTAACTGTTCTGTTTAACCGGAAGTTTCTATAGTCCTCAATGTACAGCTTGCTTTCCCGTGAATTCACTGAGGGGAGATTCTAAGGAACAAGGGGAGAATGGCCAAAATAGGTTTTTGCAGCCCCAGGGCGTAATTCTTATTTCTAAAACTATCTTTCTGGGGACACAGTCTCCGAACCCCGCCCCCTTTTGCACCTCCTTGGTTCCCTTTTCCTCACAGGTCCTTACTGTCATCTGACATACTTATTGGTTCATCTGGTGACTGTCTGCCTTTGCCCAGTAGAACAAAAGCTCATTTGTGCCTGGAACTCTGTTTTATCCATCCTACGTGCCCAGTATTGAGAATGGAGCGCAGCCTCAAGCTGACATGGGAAAGGGGAAGTGACTCTCCCTGCCTCAGGGAGTGGGCCCGCTGCACTTTGAACTCTGGAAATCTTCACCTTGAATGCTGGGTTCTCGGCTGGATTTGGAATCAAACACCTGATGCAGCTACCTATCTGTAGCTGGACCTCCAGCTTCTGATCTCCAGACGTAACACAGAAAGAGAACAACAAGTAGCTCCGTTGTAAAGGGAAGGACTGGAGGGACAGTGTCAAAGGAGCCAGGAGTCCTTCCTTCTTGTTTAACTCCTCTTAGGAGAGAACATCACAGTCCTTGGTGGGGAGAGGGCGGCACCTCCAATCAAGGAGAGCTGCTCCAATGTCTCCGTCCCAGAAACAGTCCTCACAGTCCTCTGCTCCCTGAATAGCAGAATGCAGCTGTACACAAAAGGGGACGGACAGAATGGAAAGAGCCCACGCATACATTCCAGGAGCATCTCTGCTTAGGGCGGCTGGGGGTGGCTTTCCATGACAAATGTAAGAGGGAAGGACTATCCGTGCAGGGCTATCTTTGGGGAAATAAAACTCTAATTTGATCAAGCATGTTTCTCCTGTGAGACAGGACCCCGAGTCAAACTCTGAAAAATTGCACTAAGGCCATGCAAGTTTGCCAGCAGACGGCATGCCTCCCGGTCTTATCTCTCCACGAGATTATTCACCGCCGGGATGCAGAACCAGCAGAGGTCCAGAAGACAGCTTGGACTGGGCGGGGGTTGGGGGTGGGGTGGTCAGAAGATACGGCGGTAGGTGCCTTTCCGGTCTCTGTGCCTCACGTTAGCCACCTAAGTCACTGCTGGAAATCTGGAAAACACAGTCAAGCATTTTCTTCGGGACCTACTCTTATGTGCTACAGGTTCTCTTCCCTGTCATATAACGGAGCCCATGCCCTAATCCTAGAAAGTAAAAAATCATCTCCCTTAGTTTACATATATGGAAACATAAGGCCAGGGGCTGAAGTGACCTCCTGAAACCTCAAGGAACTAATAAGACGGAGAGAAAAGTCAAATGGCAATCTTTCAGATCCCTATGTTGGGCTTCCTTCTATTATAACCTTGTTTAAGAGCTTTTTTTTGGGAAAATCACAGATTAAAAAAAACAAGAAAGAAAGAAATGACTATACAATATACTATAGATATGTCAAAAATGTTCTGCAAACAGCCAGGTGGAACCATCGGCTCCCAGACTCCACAATGAAGGGGAAGTTTAAATGAAAATAATCACATTTCCTACCTCATAAGGGTGTTCAGATATTGAAAACAGTTACACGCATACAGCACTTAGCACAGTGTGTCGCATGTCAGGAGAGCTGGGTGAATAACAGTTATCATTATTATGGGTACTAACATTCATACTATGAAGCAATGCCATGTGCCAGACGATTGTGAAATGATGGACACAAACATCCCCAGGAAGGAAGTGACATACAAAGGGTCAGATGCATCAGGCAGGATTAACAGGCTGCCCTGTCCAGCTACAGGTCCCCTGAGGATGAGATAAGGGGAAGCACAGGAGAGGGCTCTGAGAAACTCTACCCAGCACAGTGCATGTACATAGTGGGATGGCTGTGATCTCAGTGGATCCTGAAAAGCAGGTAGGAAAACACAACAGGTTTCGGGCATGGATGGCTGAAAACCTACAGTGCTATTCCAGGACATTCTATGACTAAAAAAAAAATAATAATAAAACCAACAACAAAAAACTGGTCTCTAATTCCAACCATCCCAGTTATTAGCTATAGAAGCCTTGGGAAAAAACTAACCCCAAATTTCACTTTTCCCAGTTAAAAAGGAAAAAAAAAAAAAAAAGAATTTAAATATTCTCCACTCCTCTGCTATGTGCCCAGAGCCTGGCCCCTGTGGACTTCAATCCCTGGTCCACTGGGCTTCCTGCCCTCTGGATTCCAGTTGGGTTCCACCAGGGCAAGATGGGCGGGAGATCAGAGGGTGGTTGGGGAGAGATCTCAGGGTATTCTGAACACATCCTTTCCTTCCTTGTCCTACAGCTCTGGCAGTGCCTATATTTTTGCTTGGTGAGGGAGTGGGCTTCCTCCTCAATCCTGCTTTCTATGGGTTTCAGTAAATATATTTCCTCCCAGGATGGTGGCTGCTTTCTACTGTTGCAGGTTCCTGAGAGCATCACCATCCCTAGTTCCCTTACTTAACCTTACCTACCCTTTCTTTCTTTCTTTTTTTTTTTTTTAATTTGACAGACAGAGATCACAAGTAGCCAGAGAGGCAGGCAGAGAGAGAGGGAGGAAGGGAAGCAGGCTCCCTGCAGAGCAGAGAGCCAGATGTGGGGCTCGATCCCAGGACCCTGGGATCATGACCTGAGCCAAAGGCAGAGGCTTTAACCCACTGAGCCACCCAGGCAGCCCTTACCTACCCTTTCTAAGTGGCTCTTTCATTAAAGTGTCCTCATCTCACCTAGCCAGGGTAGGCTCTGCTTCTTAGAGGACCCCAGCTAACATATTTAGAGCTCTGAAATTAGCCCTCCAGGCATTGTCTCTGGGAGAGCCCATCCCCTCCTGGAGTTTCAACCACCACCGTTTTGCCCAAGGACTCTGAAAGCTGACTACTTTGTAAGTCAATGATGTGTGGGTACTGGGCAGTAACTTACCAGTAAGGGCTTAAAATCTCATTGGGCAACCAAGATAAATTACACGGAGATACAAAAAAGAATATAATTAAGCATTAAACTATGTCTTATCAGACACTGGACATCCGGAGACTGAGGTTTGAAATTCTGGGCTTAACACACGTTAAATGAAGGTTCCGGGGCAAATCCTTTAATTTCTATGAACCTCAGATGTCTTATTTATAAAACAGAGAGGCTAATATCTATCTCACAAGATCAAAAGAGATGATAGATGGGAAGATGCTTATGTTGACTCTAAATTAAAATACAATGATAATGATGTTTTGCTGGAGGATAGGCAACAGCCCACTCATACTTGGAATATGATTTCCCCTCTTAAATCTTTACAATCCAGAAGAAAATTCTCTAAACAGGAAAAGGTACCAGCCTCAAAGAGTCTAGCAAAGGAAAGCAGATTTTCTTTTTATTTCTCATATGGCCTAATGTGAACAAGTGCACCCTTTTGCAAGGTTTAACAGGCATTTTGTACTTCTCTGCCTCTTTCTTTCCTGGGCAGGTGGCCAAATGGAGAATCGATCATTTATGTTTCTGTTTCCTAAAGAGAGAAACCACTGGGAGCTGAACATTCTTCTCAGCGATTTGCAAATAATGAAACACAACTGTCTGGGAACCAAGAACCCCTCCACGAGCTCCATGCATCTGACAGGAGTAGGAGTGTGTCATGGCAGGACAAATTCTCAGGGCTTTGGGGACCTCACAGTTCTGAGGGGTGACAGATGGGGCACCTCACGGCAGGTAACACACACACATGCTCCAAGTCAGCAATCACCACCAGTCCTGGACCCGCTAGCTTGAGTCACTGTGAAGGCAGACAGAGAAGCTTCAGCGAGCACAGGCAGACTCCTCCTCCAAGCCCCTCAGACTGCAGCGCTTCTATGAATGGAGCTGGCCGACGGGGTGCTCTGGGACACGTGCCTGGTGAGTGGCTCTCTACCAGGAGGCCAGAGAAGAAGCATCAGCTCCTCAGTAGACCTACTTGTGGCTCTGGGTGAGAACCAGGCTGTTGGTAGATTTTTCTTGATGTCCTTTAATAAATATTTGTCAGGAGCAAATCTCTATTTGCCTGGCCTCATACTCAGTAAGGAGGGACCTTCAGCAAAAATGAAGATCCTGGCCTTCATCCCTATCCCTGAGTGGGGTCTCCTTGGGCGAGAAGGCGTGGCTCTTTCTGATGGGAGTCTGGAGGGAGGCTGAGGACTCCGGGCTCAGTGTGTTTTGGGTTCTCTCTGCAACGTGCCCACTGCTAGAGAGGCTGCCCTCTGGTCTGACCTCATGCATGAATCACAGGTCCTGCTCGGGGGCTGGACGGGGGCTAGCGGGAACAAGAAGGGATGCAGTTATCCAACTGCTCCACAAACCAAGGGCGGCAGTCCGTCTCTTTCCAGGATGCCCACTGTGGCATGTATCCTGGTCACATCCTTCATCCCAGTATTTATCAGTCATAAGACTGGACTTTAGAATTTCTCCTCTCAGACTTTGTTATCTACTTATCAATCAGACTGGAGCTTAGCAGAAGAGAGCTCATTAGTAGAGTGCTCTAAAATCTCATAACATTGCTTAATTAGAAAGAAAGAAAGAAGGAAAGAAAAGAAAGGAAGGAAGGAAGGAAGGAAGACAGGAAGGAAGGAAGGAAGGAAAAACATTAACTTTTTACAAGGTGATAATCTGTGAAATCATGATATGGGTATCTTTAAAACCTTTTTCTAGTATACCTTATAATAGATACATAACTATTAAAACAAAGCTTGGTTATATAAGAGCTAAAAAAATAATGGGTACACTGTTTTGAAGATTAATATTTTTGGGTGCCTTGGTAGCTCAGTCAGTGAAGCAGCTGACTCCTGGTTTCCACTCAGGTCACGATCTCGCGGTCATGGGATCAAGCCCTGCTTTGGGCTTTGCGCTCAGAATAGAATCTGCTTCAGATACCCTCTCCCTCTCCCTCCAGACCATGCTCACTCATTCTCTCTCTCTCTCTCTCTCTCTCAAATAAATAAATAAAATCTTTTAAAAATTTAAAAAAAAAAAAGAAAATTAAGATTTTTTTTAAATGATGATTCCTACAGCCATACTACAAGGACACTTAGCATCTGATATCCATGTTAAACTGCTGAGACAATTTGTATAGCATAAATAAAAATAATAGCTCTGATTTACTAAGCAAATAGGAAAGAAAAGGTAACATAGAGAGTGTTTTACAGATACTGTCCCGGTTTGTAGCTGGAAGCACTTGGCCAGCCTTGCATATATATACATATATTTTTTTTCTTTTGTTCCTCCTTTCTTACACTTAAAAAAATAAATATACTGATCAAGTTGTATCCTGAGGGACTATTTGAAGATATGAAAAAAAATTCTCATAACATAATATTAGGTGAGAATAAAAGGATATAAAATTATATAAATAGTAATTCCAATTATATTACATGTGTTTATAATTCATATCATATACATAAAAATACAAAGACAGATCATAGGTTATACATAAAATTGTTAACATCGATCTTTGTGTATCATGGGTGATTTTCATTTTTCTCCTTATATTTTTCTGTATTTTCAAAATATTTTACAAAGAACATTTTGTGAATTCTGTAATAGGGAAGATACTTATATTATATGTGTTAAATGCATAAGGTATTTTGTATAGACTTCCTGCTCACTCATTTGTTTTTGCAGTATTTTAAATCGCTTTTTAAAAGAAAGAAATGTAGCCTATATGAAGACCAGAATGTGGGAACAACGGGACGCCTGGGTGGCTCAGTGGGTTAAGCCTCTGCCTTCAGCTCAGGCCACGGTCTCAGGGTCCTGGGATCGAGCCCCACATTAGGCTCTCTGCTCAGCGGTGAGCCTGCTTCCCCCTCTCTCACTGCCTGCCTCTCTGCCTACTTGTGACCTCTCTCTTTCAAATAAATAAATAAAATCTTTTAAAAAAAATGTGGGAACAAACGATGCTCTTTTTCATATGTTTTAAAAGGCCATTTAATAACATAATTTTATTGTGTATATTAATTTTTTTAGAATTTCTTTCTTCAATTTCTCAATAAAAAGGCCTTCTTTATAGCATTTACTTTCAGATACCTCTCTGTGATATCTCCATATCCCACAATATCATACATATTACTTTAAAAAATATTTTTCTTTTACATAGTGTTTGGAAACATTAATAGGAATGATAAGAATGAATAAAATTAGCTTTTATCTTAACACAGCATCTTTTACCATATTTCTCATATGGTAAAATATTTAAAATGTACTAAAAAATAACAGAGGGGTGAAGATTCATAAAATCTGAGGGACTATAACATTTGACAGTTTTACTTTTCTTTTTGTAGGTATTGCACAATGAAGATAACATTGAGTAAAAGGTGATATGCTCAGAAGTTACAAAACTGGGCCCCAGCAAAATACCTCCATATAGCAGGTGCTCAATAAACATTTTCGTAATGATTGAAATCTCTTCTCAATGAATACATGCAGTGATTCATCAGTGAACCATGTAATTTACTAATAAATGAATAAGTAAAAAGTTTTACCATAATGATCATAATCACTCCCTTCCCCCATAATAAAAGTAAAATGCTTGCACAGCACCTTGAGTTTCATCATGGAATCTTGACATAACTTGTCTCCCCGAGCCGCAGAAACCTCATCAATCCCGATCAGCTTGGCCTTGTACCGGACCCCTTCACCTTTAAATCTCTTTATCAAAGTGGCTTCACTGCGATCCTGACCTAAAAACAGAGAAAAGCAGGATTCAGGCATGTAGGCATGCAGGTCCCATTGTCTTTAAATATCCCCAGTGCTGAGCTGCCTTCTCTGGTTTCCAAGAAAGTCAAACCACGGGGTGGAGTAGGAAAGAAGGCTGATTCTATCCTTTTAAATTTAAATTTAAATGTAAAAATTAAAAAAAAAATTTTAAATTTAAAAATTCTGATTCTATCCTTTAAGGTCCAGAGGAAAATTAGTTTTCGCGGATCCTCTGTTTTCTCAGGCAAGAAAAACAAACAAACAAACAAACAAACAAAAACGAGTTAAAAATAACCAACCCCAACAGGGCATTCAGATAATTAAATCAGACAACACATGTAAAGCGCCCAAAACAGAGCTTGATACACACCAGGTACTCAACAAATAATCACCACCTAACCTACTAAGAGTTCAGGTCTGACATTCTTGTTAGAGTAGAATTAGCACCGAGCCTCTTCGGCATTTCCAGCGTTTCGTATGACTTTGGCCAGGGTCCAAGACCTTCCTACACCCAGTTCCACGGGCTGTTTTATAGTGAGACTCCAGAGTAATTGCTTTGTATCAAGTAATTACCCAGGGACAATTATCAAAAAATGGTTTTACAATATCTCTTCTGCTAACTCGTGTGTGTGTAGAAAGAGGCTACTTGGTATGGTGAGCCCATATCCTGCAATAGCCTTTCTCGGTAATTATTAACATAGTAATTTGCTAGGATGTGTCAACCAGACATTCAAATACATCCACATAAAATAAGGACAGTAAAGTCTCTGTGAGCTGAGTATTTCTTGGGAGATGTTTGTAAACCTGATCCCCACTCTTTGTAAAACCTCAACCATATCCATTTTCTAGACAAAGAGTACGAACGTCACAGAATTCAAGGAGCTTGCCCCAAGTTCACCCAGTCAGAAAAAAAGAAGAATGCACAGGAATTAAAATTTCTAATATCATCAAACTTTCATAAACTTTGCAACCATGGTTCTTAAAACCTGGGGCACTCTTGTCTTCTGACGCTCATGTCCCAGAACATCACGAACTTGAACTTCCAACACCTCCTCCATCAAGCCTGCCATCATGGGGCAGAATGAGCTGAGTGCACAAGACAGAACTCAGCCTACTTCCCTTTACCTATATGATGTGCAAACTAAGGCCTTTCTATAATGTGGCTGAGATTTATTGGAGCTGAAAACAGAGGAAAAACAGCAGCAACAGTTAACACTCCATAATGCTTTTCAACTGAAAAAGCATTAACCTGCGGTTCACTTATTTATTCAGTCGTCCCTCACTGAGGGTCTCCTCTGTGTTGGATGCTATAACTCACTGCAACAGACGTAGGAGACAAAGTCTGTGCCCCTACAAGCTTGAGATTTTGGTGACCAGAAATTAAAATGCACAACGCGCTACGCTAGTCGTGTAAGAAGGCGGCAGCTTTGGTGGACATCCTCATTTCGAGTCATGGCTTTCTCACTTGAAAACCAACTAAACTGTCTACTGAGCCTAGGTTTCCTCATCTGTCAAATATGGATACAATATCTACATTCAGATTTATGGTGAATAGTAACTTACAGGAGAGAGTATGTGCGAAGCACGGATTCACGTGGTTAAGTTCTCAGAAAATGGCAGCTGTCACCACTATTACCAGCCCAGTAAAGAAGCACATAGAAGATACGATGCTGAGGGAGGGAGGGCACAAAGGAGAAATGTCTGCAGAGTCAGACTCCTAATTTCCAGCTGGTGCTTTATCCCACTGTACCCTTGCTAACTCCTGGTCTATTCAAGCCTTTGAATCATATTCCACAAAGCAGATATAACACAGGGATGATTAGTCAGAACCTATAATCAATGTAAAAATTCAGCCTCAGGATTCTGTGAGGGTGGATGTCAGAGACTAAAGCACAGAACAAAGAAGACACTTGCCATGATACACCCTGTACAGACATCTAGCTCAACACCACAGCTGTGGTCCTACAGGTCACCACTCTCTGAATGATCATGCAAAGTTGGGTGGGGGTGGCCTAGGGCTGGCTCTGGCTCTTGGGAAGGATATGGGTCCCAGATACCGTCTCTGCCTCTTCAACACAGGACAGTATTTCAGTCACTAATCATATCCCTTTCACTGTGTGGGGCTTCTCCAAGCTCTATATAGGAAGCATTTATTAGGGTCTGTTCAAAGCACATTGTCCATACCAACTTGTTTAGCCCCAGAAATAACCCTAGACATATGTGTGGTCATTCACGGTTTTATAAATGAGGATCTAAACTGAATATCTGAGAGGCCAAGTAACTTGTCCAAAATTGCTGAATGTGACCTGAACCCAGATCTATCTGAGCCAAAGCCCAGATTTCTGGTTTGCAGGTGTCCTATATTTTCAAGCTTGTGCTCTTAACCACCAGGATGAATTGCTTCTCACTCTCCCTGACTTCCTCATCTTTATATGGTACCCAAACTCACCTGGCCCAGACCTGTCAATACCTAATACACTGGCAGCATTAAAACTCCACTGGAGAGACAACTTGAAATGCAACAAAAAGCTTTCAGCCTCCACATCATGTCCCAGAAAATGTCCATGGGTCAGACACAAAGACAGCCTTAAGAAACATTTGTCAAGGCACAGAGCTCTACCAAGGAGGACACTTCATAAGGAGGCAGAGCCAGCCCAGGTGAACGAGGGCAGAGATTAATAAGAAAATATTAGGCCATTTAGAGGAAAGTAGGGAGCCCAATTTAGATTAGGACCCAGGGCCAAGCTAATTTGTATGAAGGGCACTTACGCAGTAGATAATCTGGTTTCTCATTAAATGCTCCACCATTAAAAGGGTAATTTTTCATGAGCACATCTTGAGCAAGGTCTCCGTTATATTAGTAAAGAAATAAATAACAGACATCGGAGCCATAAGGCTGTTACATCAGAGACACATATGATGTGAGGGTAGTAGCATAAGGGTCAATCTTCATGTGTCCCAAGTCATCATGAATCCCCAGCCTTTTGCTGAAAGCCCCACTGACCCTACGCTTCAGGATGGACAAAAGAAAGGACACGTGCTTTAGGAAAATCACCAACACTGTCACTCTCAATTCTCAACCATTCACTCAACCAATCACTGTGCCAAGATTTTCCGCGCAACCTCTCATGTAGTCCTCCCCGCTGCTCTTTAAGTTAGACTCTGTCACCTGCCCTATTTTATGGAAGATGATGTCAATGACCAACACCAACAGCAGAACTGGAATTTCTAACAGTTTTACTGAGATATAATTCCCATACCATTCGATTCCCTCTTCTGAGGAATATAATTCACTGGTTTTAGTACATTCATAGAGTTGTACAGCCATCATCGCTAGCTAACTGCGTAACATTACCTTCACTCCCAAAATACGCCCTGCACCCATCAGCAGTTACTCATCTTCCCGAAACCAGCCTAGGCAACCACTAGTCCATTTGCTGTCTATGGATTTGCTGATTCTTAGTATCACACCATTTCTCCCCGAGTACCCCTTCTCTCCTAGGTATAATCCTGGGTCATATGGTAACTCTATGTTTAAATTTCTGAAAAACTATTATTGTTTTTCCAAAGTGACTGTAACCGGTTTATAATCCTGCCTGCAAAGTATGAGGATTTCAGTTTCTCTACCAGATTTTCTTGCCAATATTTCTGTTTGTCTTTAGACAAATACTTCTGTTTGTCTTTTTTGCTTTAGCTGGCCTTATGAATGTTTAGCGATATCAGAGTTTTGTTTTGTGTTTTCCTCAGGACTAATGATGTTGAGCATCTTTTCTTGTGCTCACTGTCCTTTGCATATATCTTCTTGGAAGAAACTATTCAAATCCGACATCATCAGGGCACCTGGCTGGCTCAGTCAGAAGAGCGTACAACTCTTGATCTCGGGACTGTGAGTTCAAGCCCCACCCTGGGCGTAGAGATTGCTTAAAAATAAATAAATAAATAAATAAAATCTTAGAAAAATAATAAAAAGGAAGAAAATCTGACAGCCTGAGTTTGAGCCCAGGTGTTATGACAAAGGTCATGCTTTTAGCCATTAAGCCCTTTGGCATTGGTCCACCTTACTCCGTATTCGGTTAGGGCACTTGCCACGTCTTACTTTGTGTCACAGCTATTTGAGGAGACCCCTTATGGAGCCTGCAGCAAACTGGAAGCTATCTTACTCTTAAAGACAAGTATCCTATAAACACATACACTGTGCCTGACCTTCTCAGACCTTCTCCTCCTTACTCCTCCAGGGCTACTGGAAATAGGCATTGTCATCATTCTATGAATGAAGAACCCAAAGCCAGAGAGGTAAGTAAAATTACTGCCAGCTGAGCTAGGAAGAGAATCTCTCTTGTCCCAGGCCAAGACCTGAGATCTTCCACTGGGAGGCAAGAGTGTTCAATCGCTCAGAACAAGAGCTCTGGATCCAAGGATCTGCATCCTGGTCCCAGCTCTCCCACCCATTCTTCTCATTGTGTTGTGTTGGGTAGGATCTTTCCATGTCTGCCACAGCATCTTTCTTCTCTGAAGAGTAGCTAATAACCACTGTTTCCATACTGGGTCACTGTGTAGGTCAAAGAAATGACACATAGACAGCAACATAGGACAGTGACTGGCAATCGGAGCTCATGTGTGCAAGGCAGGCTATGTTCTACAGTTTTGCCCCGCTGTTGTCTGGGGCTGGAGGGCACTGTCTTGCCCTGTCTCTGTCCAACCCCACACCCCCCTCCCCACTCCACACCTGAGGTCTCAGCACAGTGCCATGTGCCCAGGGCTCCTCTGATCCCAAGGGTCTATCTGGGAGGTCCCCTCGGAAATGCCTCCATAATATTCTCCTGATACTCCCCCCTTGCATTCTCCCGATGACTCAATCTCATTTGTAATTATCTGTTTAAATCCAGCCTTCTGCTTAGTCTGTAAGTTCCAGAATATAGAGAGCTATGATGGAATTGTTGACCAAGGTACCAGGGCACAGCATTTTTCTAGCACACGATTCCCT